GCCATGGCCACGGAATACATGCACAGACTATGTTGATAATCTGTGGGTAAAACCAAATGCGAGTGCCATCTATCCATCAATACAAGAACACCATAACTATCTCGGATTAACCTTGCATTTAAAATACTATTTAATTATAATTCTTTAGGAGATTGAATGTTTGCGCTGAACATTGAAAATTTTAAATCTTCTAGTTCTTCAAATTATGTTCACATAAAATACCAAAAGAAGGGCAAAACAAACGGATGAACTGAATGTAGTAATACGGACTCAACTGTTACACCAACTACATACCAAAACAATTTCACCTGAAGTTAGGTAACTTTCAAATGGGTAAAGAAAGGAGCACTGATACAGTTGAAAATGACACACATTTATATACAATTTCTTATTTTAAATTACTTACAAGCCATTAAAATGACAACAAAACTGTAGTACACTGGGTATTAGAGAATGCTCACAGGCTTAGAAGATTAATAAAGCAAATTACTGTGGAAGACAAAAATGTAACCAGTAGATTCACAGAAATTGACCAACATTTCATGTGTGCTTACTACCTTAATCATAAATTCTGTAAATTTCACTTCTAAGCTACGCTGGCTACAGGTTTTGATGGTTCTCCACATTCTCTCCAGCCAAATGCCAAGACAGCTCCTTAACTAGGCTAACTACTTCCTTCTACATCCTTTTGCAATTCATGATTTGTCAACTATCCTAGTATTTGATGCTGTATAGTATAATCTACTGACAGTTTCATTCACTAATAAATAAATAAATAACACACATTAAAAAGGTTTGTCAGAAACAAATACTCTTTCTTAACTTAGTTTAATCAGAAAGGACATTCTGTTTATGATGTATTTCATAGGTGAAATAAAGACTCTCAATACGGCAAACTGAAATCTATATACAAAATGAAGTATGATTGTCAAATATGATCAACCAACTTTGTAATAAAAGTGATTCATTACAAAAAACAAGACAACTAGGCAAGAACATTTGTACTACAACAAACATCATTATAATATCTATGTTTGTTATGTAGGATTCAGAAATCTGAATTGTAATACTAATTTTATTTCCCTCTAAAGATAAAAATAATTTTCTGACAAGTCATATTTTGATAAACACACACATAAAATCATAGTTGATAATAATGTAGTATGTGATTTCGATTACATCATACAGATATCCAAATTTTTACAAAACGTTAAAACATAGGTCAGAATGGTTTGGAGCATGATTTTGCATACAAACTATAAACAGAGATTCGGCTTTTACTAAAAAGAAATCATAGTTGGATAATGACTTTGCATGAGTTTGATGGTAAATCACAGGACTCCAGATTTTCAAACAACAAAAAGCATAGGCAATAACTACTTGGCATAGTTTTGCCTACATGAGTAAGCCACAATCTGAGATTTAGGGATCATATTTATTCATTGAAAGATTATGAATTGTCCATATGTATTCTTCCAATGCAATATCTGGGTATCTTATTTTATAAAATGTTCTCAAAATCTATCAAAATAATTGTTCTCAGAATTCATAAAAATATTGAAATATGAATAAACAATACATAACATAAACTTACAATAACAGAGCTGCACAAGTGATAACTATTAGATTCTGTAATATATATGCCATCAGGAATGGAACAAATTTTTTTTATATGTACAAGGATTTACAAAATGAGTCCCTCAAGCAATCTCTTCCCTTATCCTACAAAATTCCTCATTTATGGAAAATTATTTAATATTGTTCTCCATTGTCAGACTGGAGGCAAAGCAACAAACTATTCACACAAAAAAATATTCAAAGTATAGTGTGTCTCTTACAAAAAATCCATAACAAAATTTGTTAAGATTCTAGTATGTAAGCTCGATACTGTAAAATAAGTTTGTAAACAAAGAATTATGGCTTGACAAAAACAATAACAATAAGTATACTGTTCTTTACAGCACAATATTCAGTGTTTATACAAAGTAAGAAGTATATTCATGAGGCATTACACCTCGCCGTGGATAGAAAGTATGATTGACTGAATAATTCAGAAGGTTGGTAAGATGCGACATGTAGATATCAGCAAATCTAAAAAGTCGTCGAGAAAAAAATGTAGGGTTATGGTAAGTCCGAAAGACACTGCCAAATTGTTTGTTGAAAACACACTTGATCTTTTGCCTGAAAATAAAAATGAAAATTGGTTATTATAGTTGAAACACTGATGTGCAAGACAGGATTTATGCTATCATCTGACAGGAAAAATTTGAAAGTGACTCATTCATCTTCCAGTCACAGTAGCTTCTCTTTATAAGGAGTGATGACAACACCAAACATTTTATCAACTGCCATTCATGATGAATATTACAAAAATTATAACTGAAATGATAAAACAACAATAAAAATTAGAAAATTACAGACATAAAACCATTAACATCAACAATCAATGAAGCTCATAAAGATAATAGTAATGATAATAACAACAGTAATGTAATTATAAAGCAATATATAAATGCAGTCAATAGCATATATAGTAATAGCAATAATAATAATAAGAAGAAGAACAAGAACAAGAAAGACAATAATAATAACAATGATAGATCTCTATGGTGGGATTGTGTGAATATGGTGATAAACCTTCAGGTTCCATAATATAAGGGAATTTCTAAGGGTGAATGATTATTGACTGTCTGAGGAAAGTTCCATATTATGATACTGTTTATAATAAATTAATAAAAGAAGTACTAGTACTACTACTACTACTACGAGGCTCGTCCACAAAGTAAGTTTCCCTGGGGCCGTTTACAGAAACAAAACACAATTTCATGGAAATATTTATTGCAACAGATAGAGCAAGTGTCCAGCTATTTTTCAACATATTCGCCACCGGAATTGAGACATTTGTCATACCGTGGGACCAACTTTTGAATACCTGTGTCGTAGAAGTCTGCCGCCTGGGATTGGACCCACTGTGTGACACCCATCTCCGCCTCTCTGTCATTCTCAAAACGCTGACGCTGACCGGACAGGAATTTCTTGAGGGGTAGGAAAAGATGGAAATCACTGGGAGCGAGGTCCGGGCTGGAGGGTGGATGATTAAACACCTCCCAGCTGAACTCCGGCAGGAGACTTGCTGTCCGTCGAGCCGGGTGCGGCCTAGCGTTATCACTGACCGCACTTCACAGTCGGCGGGAGCTGGAACAAGAACCTCCATCTTCAACAGCTGTAACGATGCTAATGTGAGAACGCGGGAAGTTCCGTTGCTGTTGTGCTCAAAACTCAAACTGGAAAGGTTAGTAGGCCTGTATTATTCTGACAGGAACTCTGAAGTACGAGGCTCGTCCTTAAAGTAAGTTTCCCTGGGGCCGTTTACAGAAACAAAACACAATTTCATGTAAATATTTATTGCAACAGATACAGCAAGTGTCTAGCTATTTTTCAACATATTCGCCACCGGATTTGAGACATTTGTCATACCGTGGGACCAACTTTTGAATACCTGTGTCGTAGAAGTCTGCCGCCTGGGATTGGAACCACTGTGTGACAACCATCTCCGCCTCTCTTTCATTCTCAAAACGCTGACGCTGACCGGACAGGAATTTCTTGAGGTGTAGGAAAAGATGGAAATCACTGGGAGCGAGGTCCGGGCTGTAGGGTGAATGATTAAACACCTCCCAGCTGAACTCCTGCAGGAGACTTGCTGTCCGTCGAGCCGTGTGCGGCCTAGCGTTATCACTGACCGCACTTCACAGTCGGCGGGAGCTGGAATAAGAACCTCCATCTTCAACAGCTGCAACGATGCTACTGTGAGAACGCGGGAAGTACCGTTAGTGCATGTGCCATGCTACGTCATTGCTCTAGCACGTACGCACAGTCGCTTCGCGCAATATAAGGTTTGCTAGCTGTGGGACAAGTGGGAAACTTACTTTGTGGACGTGCCTCGTATTAACTGACCAAAGAAATAACAAAAACAACAACAAAGCAACTGGGATCAGAAAAATAACAAATAATTATCCATTCATTTCCACTTAGAGAAACGGGTCCAAAACTGTTAAATGAAAATAATATCCAAAGCAAAAAATTAACAGGAACAATCATCACTATCTGATGCAGGGTATAAACTAACCAGGTGATAGGTTCTGAAATGCAGAAGAACCTGAAGGTTCATCACTATCAATGAAAAAGTCCACAACTGGACCCTACCCTGACCAAGTTCCTGTAACGTTACAACAGAAAAACAAATACTACACATATGACAACAGTATTTACACAAGAATTATGTTTCTAATGGGAATCTGCATTCCCATTGCTTTTACACATGGTAAACGTATATGACCTTATTTTCCTTGAATGCAAATCTCAGAGCCATGTATAGTCATATTCATATGATTAGGAAATAATATTTACCGAAGATCATCTCGTTCTGCCATCCATTTTGCCAAAACTTCCTCCTCCTCAGGTGACTCACAATCCTGGAAGTCCTCTATCAGCTGTGTCAACATCTGCAACCAGTTGCAGTTCATTTTGAACTCTGGATCATTCAGTGTCTCAATCTCATGCTGTTAAAAATGGATCAGTATTAATCAATGACACATACAGTACTGAGTAAGTGTTGATTTATCAGTATGTAATGCTGACAAGCATGGTAAGGATAATTTTAAGTGCAGTTTCTACAATCCTCCAAACAGAAGTGTACCCATTATATAACATTGTACCTTTATCACTGATCCAAAAATGTATCCATCTGTCAGTCAACAGGCAAGCAACAGGGACAAGTAGTGTATACAATTTTATTCTGCATAAATAAGTTCCTATGCTATCGTAATGGCAGAAAAGTGTTGACAGTATTAAGTTGGAATAGAAACAGCCACAGAATACCACGCAAAAGTTTTTAATATCTCAGCACATTTTAGTCACTCTCTATAGGAAAATGTATTTCTGTTTATTTATGTCTCCTCAGACTTAAGTTTTCCAAGAACTTAATACTGATGCAAAATAAGTCTTCTGGAAATTGGATAAATTTGAGCTGAGACCATTCCATCAAGTATTACAACTCACTGCGAGTTCATTAATGATAGCTCCAGTCCGCCAACCATGTTCCAGAGTCACATCTGCCAGATCACTGTATGGATGATCTCCAAAATAGAGGACCTGCTCTCCCCTCCATCCCGTCATATCTTGAAGCTGTTTCACAGTACCCTAAAATGGTGAATTAAATATTCAGATCAAAGAAAATAATCAGTTATAACTTTTAATGACACAAATAATGTCAGTACAATCAAAGCTTGCTGGCTGAGATGGGCTAGATATGTTATTAGGATGTATATGTAATGCCTACTAAAAATTTATCTTTAATAAGCTCAAAGTACAACTATGTGATACAAGACAAAAAAAGAGATTTGGCGACAACTGGATGAAACATTCTAGAAACAAACAGAAAAATATGACGACTGAACTTAAATGCCACAATCTACTTAAATAAAATGCATTATGTACCTCATAATAGATTTTTCCTTTCTCCAGCCTTGTGACACGATCCCAGAGTTGTGTCCGACTTTCACAGTCATAGATTCGAAATGGTCTTGACTCAACCGTGAAAAACTTTGGTTTGCGTGCCTGGACTATCACCACATCAAAATAATGCATCCAATCACTTCCTACTAGCAGCTCCATTCCTTTGTTCCTGTAAGAATTAAAACACAAGTGGTCATAAAATAAGATAGGGGACATGAAAATAGCTCTGTAATGACAGCAGCATAAGCACAATACCTACATCCAAATTAGCAAAACCTTTATTACAACTCACACAAAATGGTATGGACTATTGGTGACGAGGAACAGCTTCTTTCCAGCAGCCACCAGACGGCCAAACAACCTGCGGATATCTCTGTTTTGTTCCAGGTATTCTGATACATTCTGCTCCACAATTCTGTGCATTACTGGATGACCACTCTGTACTGAACTCTGTGGGAATAGCATTTATATAGCTAATTGTAACCCTCTGAAGTTGAAGCTCATCTAAAGAATATTTAATAATTTACTCCAAACTGCAAACAAAGGCACATTTTATCTCAATTAGAAAGCTCAATTTCCTACTGCTGTTAGGAAATAATTGCTCTTTACTCTAAGAATTATATGAAACCCATAAATACATTTTGTGGATTACTTGCAAAGTTACTGATTACTAAAGCAGGTGGTACATATAATGATCACCATGCTTTGAAGGATTATGCTTTCTCAGTAATTCATTCTTAATGATGATCATCCTTTTGGGAACTGGCACTTTGTGGATAGGTTCTATTGCCAACAACTCAGAGAAAATATAGTGCCTCCATGATCAGGACTTCAGCTCCGATGGAGACAGAATGTTCCTCTGAACACATCTGTAACACAACTCACTACTTCCACTGGGTTGGCCCCAGTGCTGGTCTGGATGTTGTAATAAATAGAAAATTCCTGCAAAACATACCTTCACATCATGAAACAGAATCTCAGGATGGTAGTCAATGTGGTTACGCTCGAAGTATTCAGCAACATTACACAGAAGACTCATCTCTGGCACCGAGAACAAATCTGCTAACTGCACCATTTTGATCTTGACATCATGCTGTCAGCAATTCAATAATGTAATGTTATATTCATCAATGTGGTAACTACTCACATTATGCAACATAAACTAATGACAAATTGAAGTGATTAATTTATACACTTGAAATATCTGAATGTGATGTGCTCAACAGTTTTTGAGGTTGTCTTTGGATAAAAGAACTTGATAACTGGACCAAGCAGTATTTAATAATAAATCAGCTGCAACAAACTCAAAATATGACATAGCTGAAATAACAAGTAACATACAAATTACTTCATTTATGCATGCTATTGATATAATATATCAATATACATACAAACTGCAAAAATTATAAAACACATTTCTAGATTGCATTTGCACATTCTGTGACTTCAAAATAATCAACAAAGTATTTCTCTGTAGGAAGGTCTATTTATGTAAATGTGAAAAACAATTTACAATTACCTACCACAAAAGTAAAAATACTCAATGAAAATAGTACTTACAGTGAGTATGTTCTTTAATATGTATTATATTTTCCCATCAGATATTGAAGCAAATTTTCAGTCCATCATTAGTCTTAAGACATCCAAGTATTCAAATTTATTAACCACTTATTACTACAACATTATGATACAGGATAAAAGTATCAAAAACTGACTACAGAAGATTAATACAAGATCAAATGCATATTATTAGAGAGACAATAAAAATTAAAAAAATAATGATAGAATAAAAATTTCACAAATATCAGACTTAACAATACTCAAACAAAATGAGAAAGAATAAGTTGTGATAGGATTAAAAAGGTCAACCAAGAAAAAGATGTTCACAAAGATATTTAAAATGACAGAAAGATTAAAATATTCTCTGTATAACAGTGCACAAATAAAAAATAAGAAAGTAAACAAAACTTCTACTTTTACTAATAAGATAAAGCCAATCAACATAAATTAATTAATTATCTATCAATCCTACATATTTTAATATCATTACTCAAATTTAGAAATTAGTTTTGACATATCATATGATAACATGCAGAATCATCTGTAACATTGAACAAATCAAACTATTACAGCACATAAACCACAGAAAATGAAACCCTTAAAATGTTCACCTCAGTATATTCTTGCACACTGCCCAAACCTTATTCAGGATGCACGAAATTTACATTAATTTAATTACCCTGCATGAGTGGACATGGAGACAAAGACTTGCATTTTCTAAACTTCAACACTAGATGGAGGTAAGTGGTCAGGTTTATGCTGCAGCCTCTTATCCGAAGAACAAAGTGCCCAAGCACCTTTCAAAAGAAAGATAGGTGAGTGCAAATAATTATGATGTTAAGTGATGTTCTGCTCATGAAAATACCATGTTCACACCTTCTGCACAAATGGCATGAGCAATAGCCTAGCAACCAGGGTGACTCTAAGTTGAGTGTTACAGAGGAGGTTGGGAGAGTCTATTAACATGAGGATGGATCTACAACTGATTACATTTTTATATGATGGTTGTTGGGTTGAACGTTAAAGTAGACAATCTGCATACCTATATATGTGCTTTCTTTTCTGAGAGTGCAATCACATATAGCAACAAATATAATGAATTTCACAACTAAAAGGTTTCAAAAAAAGCATATTAAAGGTACAGCACTTCTAATTCTAAGAATGAAAATATACTACATGTTAAAAAATAATCTTTCTTACTAAAACAATGTACATAATATTATATTTTAACTACAGCAGCATACAGATTAAACACAGTAAGTCCCAAAACAACAAAAACCAGCATTCTAATCTACAACCAACATTTATACAATAATGAACTTATAATCTATGTTACAACATAATTACATTTACATTCCAATACTTCAGACAGACTTTCCTAGGAAGGGAAGACAACCTGGGTTTTAGATCTGCACAATTCAAACTCACCAACCGTTGCCCTCTCTGCAAAGATATGTGGTCCGCCCCAAAATGAAGGAACATTTCATTTTTCAATTACTTGGAAGAACAGGTATTTTGTTTATATCAGCCACCAGAAGGTAGGGCAGACATCAGCAGTGGGGAGAGAAAGAAACCAGTCACATTTGTCTGAGTCAAATAAACAGCGTTCTATTTATGAATAAAAATTTGTCACTGATCTTCATGAATTGAACCTGTCTCTCTCTATTGATTGGTTCATAAAACTCGGTTCACAGTACAGTGTATCCCTATGAAAGAATATTGTACAGAAATTACCTTTAGTATTACTAAATTTCTGGAGTTTGTTTATTGTCTACTATTCTTAAAAGAACAACAGTTCAGAAACCAGATTGGTTTTCAATCTCAGGCAAAAAAAGGTGGGGAGTACCTACTCAGTTGAGTCTGTCAGAAAGAAACTAATATTAATCACTGGTCCAATGGACAAAGTACAGAAATCTATTAATACCAATTGTTATATACCATCAACTTTTCTTCAAATTTAAAAAATTACCTGCTTTTATGTAGCTCATGATTCATTACTGTTCACAAGACAAAGTAGATCGTATTTCTCTAACATATTGTGATGTGTTGGGGGTTGGCATTGTTGAACTGTTTAATGACATTGTTGTATTCATGCATTGTTGTATTATTTACATTGTTGCGTTTAGCATTGTTGTGTTTACATTGTTGCGTCTGTTTATTGGCAGTAGTGTAGTAGGTGAGAGTGTGGAAGAAATACTGCGAAGAGAGCTGAAGTGTGAATCGCTTGTAGGAGAAGTGTGTTGTAGACGAGATTATTTTGTGCTGTAAAGACGTTTTAGTTGATTAAATTCATTATTGCTGGAAGACTTTGTGGTCTCTTACAATCCAACCAAGTTTACAACTGAGATTGGATTTGAGGTAGTAGACCCCGCAAGAAATCAAGGGTTGACAATCAAGGTTGTATACCGACCCACGCTACAATATACTATTATATTATTCTTCTTAAACCTATGTCTCAAAAATGGTTCTTCCCTAGTGGCTGTTCAACTAAAATATTGCAAACATTTCTCATTTTGCCTATTACATGTTACATGTGCTTCAAGTCTCACCCTCATTAACTTGACAACACTAAAATACAACACAAAAATCATTCCTTATTATGCAATTTTCTCCACTTTCTTATTATTTCATCTCTCATTAGTCCACATGTCTTCTTCATCACTTATCACACATATACCCAAATATATGTTCTTCCCACAGAATAAAAAACCAAATTTTGTGTATTTAAATATTCGGATTTTAGATTAGTAAACAGGAAGATAAACTATGCTGAACTAAATGGTAGCAAGCATTATCTAACACAGTAGGAGCTGAACCCAAAGGTTCAACACTACAAATACCAAAGCCTGTCATTGAACCTGAGCCAGTTTTACCCATCCTTAGAATCTACCTTCCTAAGATTCATCTTCCTATCTCCTTCTTGATCTTCCAAGTAGATGTTTCCAAAGGTTCCTCCACCAAAGTTAAGTTATGTGTTCCTTGTCTCCCCATCCTAGTCACATGTTTGGCACATAGCCTTCAAAATGTAACTATTCAAACTATTCAAGGTAACACTTAAAATTATTCTTTGTCAGGACTTTTTCCATCGTCTGTTCTTTAAAATCAGTCCAGTGACAGAGACTAGCTCTACCTAGGGGACCCAACAGAGTAGGTACCTTTCACCTGAAGACGGAGACAGAACCAGCCTCCGAAACATTGTGATTTTGAAGAACAGACGATGGAAAAAGTCCTGACAGAGAATAATTTTAAGTGTAAACTACCATCATCAAAACCCTTTAGAATAAAATTATTCAAGGTAACCTCTATAAATCATGAAGTTCCACATTACATAATATCCCAAACTGTTCAATTATTTCTTCCTTCTCAGGTCAAAGCACATGTAAGACCTTGTATTTCCCATACAAAAGAAACTGCAAAATTACTTTCTGTATTTTCACCTTCAGAAATTTGGAAGACACAGTATGATAACAGTTTCCATCTGAATAATTACAAGCATTTACAGGATTTATTTTTCTCATAATTCAATCCTAAATCTTATTTCTATTTGTTGATGTTGTTTCAGGTTCCAAAATATCTCAAATTACTTATTAAGTATAGTTATATTATGACTTTATTCCTGATTTTGGCTTTGGAACATATTCATATATTTAGTTTTACATCTACTTCTAGACACATATTTGAAATGGCCTATAGAAGGTTTTCAGTGTTATTCTTTATGGTATTCATATTCTCTCCAAAGCAAGTCTGGACACAATAACAAAAATAAAACTCCCTACCTATGCTAGGAAACAAACTCCAGCTATTTTGTTGACAAGACATTGTGGCTCATAGGCCTCTTGTAAAGTATAATAATGGTTGGCTTTCTTTCTTCTTTTGTGCCTCTACTAACAAGTTTCACATTTAATGATACACATTAATCAAATTTGAATGATTCTGACTTCAACCATCAGCATATATAATGAAAAGACCCAGGTGTCTGCAGAAGAAAGTGATTTTATATATTAGTAACAATGCTGCATTCTGTGCAGTTAACAACAGCATCAACATTTGAATATTTTTACATACACAAATAAAATCATACTTACCGCATTCTTCACCTGTGACTCAACATAAGCTATTGGGATGGCACGATTTTTGTATAACCTCAAAACTTCCTCATCAGAAACAGGGGTCATGCCACGGTACACAGTGCCAAGTTGAATTTGTAAAAATGAGTCAATCTTAAGCAACAGTCCTTTCTCTATATCATAATGCAGGCCACGTACTGCAAACCCAGGCTTGTATTCCAATTCTTTAATACCAGCAGGATACTAAGTAAAAACAAAGTTTACCTTTACTTCTATTAAATTTAATATAAAACCCGACAAACAAATACAAATACTTTTTGCTGTTATTGAAATGTTAAAGATATATAGATTTGTGCATTATCATACATATCTGTGAACCAAGGTTTCAACTCATACTTTTCCCATGAATGTATATCTAGAAGTGTATTTTGTTTTTAAGTTATTCACAACACACTTCCCTTCCATTAGTCCAGATAAGTAAAAGTATGCTGCAGTAATTCTATACTGGGACAACACTTTTGTGTATATTTCATTGATTAAGTTACATTCTATTTCAGTTAACACAATGAATTTATTCAATTTTCATGCACATATAAAGTACACTTGACAACATGTTTAAACATTAACACATTATCATCAGGCCACAAACAGGCTAGATCTAAAATTTGAAATATTCCAGATACCATGTGTATATCTTCTCAGTCCCTTGGTTCAGATACCTGTGGCAAATGTCAATGGTTATCCCCAACATGGTCACAAACCAGACATCTATTTCTTTCCAACTAAAGAACAGTCATCAGACTTTGACATGCATTAACTATCTCATGACACTTAAAATAGACTGGAAGCATATCAAAAACAAATTAATGTAATTACCTTATGCTTCTGAATCAGTGTGTCTCTCCCTAGTTTATACAGAAGGAAATCCATGGATTGTTTATAATGTGCCAGTGTGTAGTCATAGTCAAATCCATAAACATTGACTTCTTTAAGATCTAATTCATTGCAAGCAAATACAGCATTTTTATTCACGTCAGGTGGAAGTTTCTTTGCTGAAATAAAGAAGGAAATAAATGTTATGTGATTTATGTAATTGATCAGAAACTATCAAAATCCCATACACTTATCAAAACACGAAACATTAAGGTAGACAGTATAAAGCAACTCAGAGTACTTAGTTACCAGTGGTGAATCATGGTCTAGAACCCATGTAGTATGGAAATGCAACGTTATTAAATCCACCTAAAATCGCACCACAATGCTAATGTATACTGATGATGATGTACAAATAAAATATACATGGCAATAAAGCCTATGGTATGCGAAAGGAAATAAGTTAATGTTTACTTAAAGTTACAAAAAAAATACCTCCGTGCTATGTATCAGGAAATAAAAATGGAAGAATCAAAAAATAAAAATTGTACACTGCCAGCAAATATTTTCTTAACTCATAATAGCAGACAATAAATTCCTGAATAATTATCTACAGGCAGTGTGTGTTTGTATGCAACAATAATCCACATTACTATTTGTGGTACCACAACACTGACTCAATAGGTTTGTTACTTCATAATCCGGAACCAACTGCTGAAGTTATGTAGTTAAGCAGTATCAAACAAGATACAAAATAAAGTACATTGATTATAAAATGACAAATAAAATGAAAAATAGCAGGAAACAGTCATGGCCTGCTTAAAAGCACTATCTCTGTATCAATTTGAAGAGGCTGAGGATAGTCAGTCAAGATAGCCAATATCCTGGACAAGATTTGAACAGGAGCTTCCTTAAAAGTCAGCTCCATTACTCTTTAAGCCAACCTGCTCTGTCTCTGGGAATGATTGTAGGTTGTATGTAGGTCATTAAAAGATGGTGGGTACTAGTTGTTTACAAGAATATGAAATGGAACAATAATTTACATACAATGAACTGTAAAGAATACAGATGGAAGTTGGTGAGGCCTATTTCATAATAACACTGAATGTCACAGTCGAGTGGTTAACACCCCTGCTTCATATTTGGGAGGTCCCAGATTCAAATCTCAGCCCGGAGACCGGCTATTTTGACTGGGTGTTTTCGTGGTTTTCCTCAGTTCTTCCAGGCAAATTCTGGGATAAGGCCATGTCCACTTCCTTATTTACTATCATCCTCTCACTTGATACTATATAGCCTGAGCAAATGAAAATAAACAAAAAATAAATATTTAACAATACCATTCCAGCCTTTTCCTGTAGAAACTGAAGATAAACAAAATATCTTGGCTGGAATACGTGGTACACTGGCTGAGATTCAAACTGGGAACCTATTAAATACAAAACAGCTGCATTACCAGTTAAGTTAGCCTGCTCTGGAACACTGTATTTTAGTTACCAGAATAGTACGGAACCATTCTTTACTTTCTAAAAGAGGGTCCAAAGTCTGCCATTGTATATGATCATGAGCTATGTTTCCAGTCTGCTTGTAAACACAGATGATGATTCAACTGCAAGAAACCACAAGCCTAGATCATACGGCCAAAATACTACCATAGTGCAATAAACCACATTGCTATGAAACTCTTAAATCCTACATCATTACTGTAAATAATCACAAATGTGCACTGCAGTGTCAGCATTGTTCTTACAATCAAATCAGCTCTTCTGCTGAAGCCATAAACAGCCAATTGGGAAACTTCCATGATAAAGAGTGAGAGCAATGAACCATGACACTAACTATTACCTATTATCAGTATCATTTTCAAAAGCTGCATTACTGATTAAGACTCCTGACCTCAACAACAGGTGTGTTGATGGAGAAGAAGTAATTAATGCAAAGTGTTTAAATTATGTTAAAAGCACAAGATATAATAAGTTCACTCAACTGCTAAATGTTGACTTATAAAAGAATCAAAACAAACATAAGTAGAATTTCCTCCATGTCAGAGATAATGGTTATATTGCCATGACTAGGTCTTCTGATATTAGATGTGGGAATTCCTCCATACTAAATATAATGGTTACAGAACCATGATCTAGTTCTTTTGTAATTAGGTAATGGCATTTTCTCCATGCCAGACTCGTTACATGATAACTGTTTCCTACACGCCAAACTATAATTATACTCCCATACTTCAGTCTTATAGAATTAGATACAGGCATTCCCTGGTTTATAACAATTTGCCTTTAACGCCGATATACAGAGAGACAAAAAAAGTTACTATACAACAAAGTTGTCATATGACTGTCCTATTAAATACAGAATTTCATCCAAATACCTAAGCCAAATTGTATTGCAGTTGCATAGTGAATTTATATACTCCTTTGAAAAGCAATTACAATAGAAAACGAATCCTTCAAATGTTTAAATGGAATTAATCAAAACAAATAAATCTATGCACACTCAAACAATAAAATACGTGATGATTAACTTGCACAAGTGTAGTCAAATCTTACTTCGAATGCAAATCCCGTTAAAAGTTTCGCATCATTTGAAATTTAAATTGGACAACATAAGTTTTAGTTCTATTTTCTGCTTGTTACTGTTCCTGTGGCTTGGGTGTCAATTTGATCTTGCAAGTCCAAGCATTCAAAGTCGAGAGTACAGATATACCACACTGACCCATATTAGAATTATGGGCATTGTGCCAAACACATCATTAGATCAATGTATACTTGATATCCATATACTTACATTCGCATTTTTGTTTTGTTCTGAGATAAGCTTCTGATAAGGGCTCTCGAGACATATATCTCTGTTGCACTTTCCATGGCGATGATGATATTTGAATATTTTCATGCAAGACTGCATTAGCGCACACCAATCTACGAAACAACATACAGGCATGGACCATAGCGTATTTCGTTCCACTGCCTTCTACAGACTTCATCCGCTATTTGGCCTTACTACGGACGAGACATGACATTTGAGACTTTTATGATCCGCTAGTTAGAGACATCATTCGTTATTGTGGGTCAGTTTGGCCGCATTGGATTTTCATGACTTTCTTTCCTCTTCTCAAGCTCTACAGTCCCCTGTGAACTGTGGATTCCTGCACAATTCATCTCCATGCCTTTCATACTTTTGCCAAGGAGAAATAATAATAATAAGAGGAACGAAAAACTTACATTAATAACAGAAAGCTCTAAGTGTTATACAAAATGTATTTGAGAAAAAATGTCATACGCCCATGTTTTGCCTTATTTTTATTGTTCCTTAAAAATAAAATCACACTATTACAATTTTCAGAAAGTAGACACCTCAAAATGAAAGAAATATTAAAAGGGTATGTAACGAGACCACTAAAATTTAAGAAAATATCTGATAAAATTTGAAACATCTTTAATTTAAAACCAAAACAAATTATTGCAGACCTTAGTGAAATTTGTTTTTACACTATACAAAAATTATACATCGTCACGGACGAAGAGGTTAGGTGCGGTCAGATTCGGTATAGGAAAGTTTTTGATGTCCATCCGTAGAGAATCATAGGCAATGGAATCATCTTACCTCGCGAATTCGAGCGCTCTTTAAGATGGTATAATGGAGTATATGGAGGTAGAATACACGATTTTGGAGGAGTCACCTATGGCATAACGTCTATACAAAATATAATTAACTTCCGTCCAGCCATTCTGCAGTTGTTCATTCATACGGATATCAGTTATGAACAGGATGGGATGGGTACAACCTGTTTTGATGACAACCAAACTGAAACCTCTAGGAAAATAACAAGTTTACCTTCACACAGGACCAATAAGCCTGTCACGATCGCTCATAATACGTTGCTTTACGACTTATTGGAAAGATAAGTGGACCTGTCTGGGGGAAAGCGTGTTCCTTATGTTTAAGGAGGAGATAGAGGAAGGGTGGTAATTATGACGCAAATGAGTAGCTATAAATGAGATTATTTTGACAGCTTCTGGCAGTAACAACATGGAACTATCAAGACGATTGTTATTTTCTGTCGTTCTTTCCGTGTCTGTATGGCAGCTTGGATGGACACGACCTTATATTTACTCTTACAATTTTCAAGTTCCATCAAATTCTGCTGGTGAGTAAAGAAGAACAATGTTTCAAAAGAAAATAACACGTCCTCAGTGTTTCTATGGTTGAAATTTAATTGAAACTCTGGGCCGTTCTTTGATTAGTGAAGCTTACGGCTTCACCGCTCCCCTTCCCAATGAAAAGTTTCTGCAGATGGAACTGTTTTTTTTCTCCTGGAACGATATTAGAAAAAAATTAAAAAGTCGTCTTTCTAATACTTGGCAGAATTACGAGATCTGAAAAATTAATAATTACACAACTTTTTCCTTTTTCAATTAAACATATTCTGATTACGGTACATTAAATGTACGAGTAAAATGTTAACGTTTCGTACCGCCGCAATATTTGCAGTGGAGTAAAAAAAGGAAAAAAAACATGCACAATTGTGTTGATGAACTACTTTTGCGTGCATACTTCTAATGGTTTGGTAGATGTTATTTCTAACATAGTGGATACTGAATTGACGTTGTGCATCAACCATGTTTTTGTTTTACACTTATTCAGATGAGGGTAGTAATCAGTGGTGGCTTTTGTTAACATGGTTCAGCAAAAGTCTCGTAGAAATGGGCAAAGGTTTCAGGGGTGCTTACTTCCTGCATCATCAGTGCAATATGATCAATTTGTTAATAGATCCATAGTTGATGAATCTACACTTGCATGCACCCCTAAATATGCAGTATTAAGCAGATTAAACCAAAATTTAAAAATTAACTAATTTAACCAATATTTGATGACTGTCACACTGCCAAGACTTGATCCTTCACCCAAAATAATATATAATAGATTAAGGTTTATACCTGCCTTTCATTCTGCTAAACTACAAAAACCTGTGTTTCAAGAAAACTTCATATAGGATTTGATGTATTCATGAAGGTGAAAATGTGGGTGGTCTTTATTCTGAGGATTATTTCTCAGTGCTCTGTAGTCAGAGTGTAATTATGGAAACAGCTTATGGCATTTCCTTCATACAGATATATTGGGTATACTGTCATGATTTAGGTCTATTGTAACTAGGTAGTGACAATCCTTCCACACCATATATAATGATTACATTACCATGACTCAAGTGTTGTGGAATAGATAGTAGCGCCTTCACATAAGATGTAATATCTATACCACCATGACAGTCTTTTGATGTCATGTAGTGCTATTTTCTCAATACTAAGTATAATGATTATACTGTCATGACTCAACTGACAATTTCACTGTTGAGAATACAAGAGTAAAGGGTGGCACCAGGGATCACAGTGGCCGCGCGGTCTGAGGCGTGGGCTTTGTGCCGCTTGGTCACTGGGACCATGGGTTCGAATCCCACTCAAGCCATGGATGTTTGTCTGCGTTGTTCTGTCCTGTGTACAGGTAGAGGCCTTGCGATGGGCCAATCCCTCATCCAAGGAGTCCTACCGAATGTCTATAGATCAAAACCAATGATAAAGTTGGGACCGGCAGTGCTCAGGCACTTGAAGAACTGGTCGTCCAAGTACCAAGTACCAAATGGTGGCACCAAGTTAGCAGAGCCATAACCATTACATACAACAAAGATGTATCACTGCCTGCACTTTATTATTCATGTTTCAAACATAATTTAGCCAATTTATTTCCATATATTAATTAATTTCTCTTTAAAATAGGTGTGGTGATAACTTCCAACACTGATGGATCCCAAGGTGTACATTATTTGACTGAACAAGAAGCACAAATGATGTTCCAGCAGCAACAAGCACAAATTGCATCCCTCATATCAATTCCATACTATTTTCTGCAGAATATGTTGTCCCACTTCCCATTCATTGGCTAGTTTAAATGTACAGAAGCCCACAAACATTTTGGTAATACAGAACTCTTTGTCATCCATTGATATATTTTTAATATTACAACATTCTAGGCCTGTATTTGGGAAGTACTTGGTTTAAATCTCAGTCAGACTACTGTCTATCCTGGTGTTTTCTTCACTTACTCAAGGTGAATGCTGAAATAATACTTTGAAATATGCCATGACCACCTCTTTCCAAATCCTTTCTTACCAAACTGTCATGAACATTTTCCTTCTTTTACTTGATGCTATATAATCTATGCAGCTGAAACAGCATCATTAAATAACACAAGATTAAATCATCTTAGTTGTTTCATATGAATATGATGTGACTCATGCCACCACATTTACACCAGCTCTGGGACCCACCCAGCCTCCTATTTAATTGTACAAATTTCCTTGGAGATAAATTACTTACAAGAAGAAGCTGATTTCTCATTTATGTATAGAATGGGTGGAGACTCACCTCCATGTCACCTGTATGACTCAGTGATATGACACAATTCTTTAATATGAGGGAAAATCTGTATTTTCTTTTTCTCACTTCTGACAAATGTGAAATTTCAATATGAGAAATTCCAGGTCACTCCCTCCCACCATGGTACACAGTGCAGTTAAGCTGAAGGTCTTCTGTGCTGGCTATCATCATCATCATCATCATACCGTTAGTACCAATGGAGACACTCATGAATGCCTCTACTTCACCATTTCTAAATTAGGCAGAGGGTAGGAAACTCTGTAAGGCTCTACTGTTTATTCTTGGAATGGGGTGAGGCTAAGTCTCAATGGAACTGTGGCTGTTGACAGGCCCACTGTCCATCCCCTAGATGATACATGAAGGAATATGAGCAGTGGAAGAATGATAATGACAGGAAAATCAAAGAGCTTGGAGAAAACCTTGTCTCAGTGCCACTTTGTCCACTATAAATCCCACTGGACTGACCTGGGCATGAACTCAGGCCTCCACAGTGAGAAGCCAGCAGTTAACTATCTGAGCTATGGCATGATCTGATAAGACCATAACAGGGAGCTTCAGCCACAATATCATGAATTTGGCTCTTGATATGTTTCACTTACAAGGATAAAAATTTTTGCTTTGATATTCTCATAAGATATTGCTGGTTGTCTTTTATACGTTGGTTTCTTACTGACAGAGCAGCTTTAGAGTTCAGTTTTCAAACATTCTATATTAATATATCATTCCTAGTCCTTCTTTAATATCTTTAATACATTTATGATCAATCTGTTTCCTGCAATTACTCTAAAGAAACACATTTCAGCCATAATCTTGTTTCGTGTTTGTTCTTTTGTTAATGCTCAACATTTGATCCATATACAAGTGTAGATATGGACACAATGTTAGTAAAAGTAGCATTTGTCATTTTCATAGTGACATGCTCTTTAGTCACAGTATTGTTGGAATCCATCTAATTTCATGTTAATATGGCCTGTAGCCTATTCTGCAGCCTAAATAACAAAACTGTTAAATTATTAAAGTATTTTATTATATAAAAATGTTTACTCATATGTCTTGTTTTCCTATAAATGCAGTTATATGCATTCTCACAGTGTATATTTCAATATTGTATACATTAATTATATCATGTAATTTACAAACAATTCTTTGGAAATCCTCTTTTGTACACTCAACTGAAATCTGACAAAGGGTAAACAATGAACATATGCAGAGTGTAGTCCATCCAGTAATTTAAATTGTAAACACAAAATCATAATGTCATTTCCTTATCTGTCATGTGACTGTGAATAGAATTAAGTGAATATTTCAATTTTATATGTATGATAAATATTTTATTTAGAACTTTTATATAATAATAAGTCATATATTGTAAATTTAATTGTTAAATTCTTTAGTTCAGAATAAAGTACTTCAACAATTTACAACAGTGATCTCATACTAATTTGTTTCAATTTATAATACATGATTAACATGTTAGTGACCACTTTCAGCAAAATCATGATCCTAATAACAATAAATATCCAAATGAGAGTGCAAGTAACTCATTCACATTCGTATTTTCTTCCACAAATAGAATCAGAAATAGAGATTTGAATTTAATAATGGACAAGACATGGACTGTAAAGTCGTACTTCCTGTTAATTATTTTTAAAAATATACACTGTCAAAAAACCTCTATGCACGCAAAAAGTGCCACTCATTTTCTTTTACTTTGTAAGTATAGGGATAATCTTCAGGTAAGAAACATATACTCCTATAACTACTGGCATATCAACTAGGATAGCTGAGTCAATTAAGTGACTAATTACTGGCAGGGCACAATTTATAGCTTCATTAAGATATCCAAAATGATTATGGGGTCTACCCACACTCCTGGCCATAGCATAATGATGGCAGAAAGTTCTCTAGGAAAAAGTACCAGAGCATACTGCTGACCACTCACCTACCGTACACCTTCATGATGTGGTGGGTTGTCACAGGAACAAAGTCAGAGATTTTTCCCCAGTCATTGGAGAATGTTTTATGTAGCAAGAATGGCAGATACAGAGAACCAGTCTAATCAGTGCTTGAATGTTATGCAGACTTCTGCTGCTAACTTGGCATTATAAGGACAGGAAGGACTATATCATAACTCAATCTTTGAATATTTTGTTTGCAATTTCTTATGTAGCATTGTATGAAATGTGTATTGCTAAAGTAACTGACACGAATAAAGGTGAGTGGTGCTAAGAGAGAGAGAGAATACAAATAGTGTCTGCTTCACACTTGAAATAACTGAATACTTTTTACACCACCCATCAGAAGCTGGTTGGTTCATAAAGGCACGTGACAGTAGATGTGCAGAAGCATCCAAAACTTGGCTGCCATAGTTTTTGAAGTCACTTCAAAATTTGTAATATATTTTCTCTTCCTTCCCTTAAGGTCAAAATTAAAAATTAAAAATGTTCATGTATAGTTTTTAATATCAAAAACTCTAAACTTTCATTTTTGAGGCATTTCTTTCAAATCTTAACCAGACTACTGACCATCCTGAGTTGTTCCTCTTACTAATTAGTCATTAACATTTTCCAAATTTTATTTGGTGTTATAAAACTTATGCAGCTGAAACTATCATTTTATAACCCATGGCTCAGTGATACCTACTGCTTCATATGAATCCAAATATAAATCAAGGGATTATAACTCTGTTACTGATTTGCAGGACAGTGGCCTAAATTCTGAGTACTTTCACCAAATGAACAGTTCCATATTTTTCACCTCATGAAAATATAGAACTTAGCTCAGACTTAGACACTATAAATTCGTATTCATGGTCCATTACCATACACTGGTGTATCTGCTAGGAAAACAACATAATATTGTTCAGACTCCCTGTAATTTCTTTCATTTGCCAGTCCATCCACTCCACATCCGATACAGCTGCTCTGTATCATCTTAAAAGGTTAACTCCATGATGAATGTGGAGTTAAACACCCTATTTTCTGCCTCGTGATGGAGTGCTGGAAGTGTCTGGAGTTGGTGATCGTAAGGAACTTGATGCTAATGGTCGGGAGTTGCTTGATGCACTTACATCACTTCTCTGCAGAAAGTACAAGAAATATTAATCCTTTTACTGTTGTGAATGGAACAGTTTTGTATACATTATGATTAATGACTAGAATTATTTTCCAAAATAAACAAAGTGCAGTCATTCTAATTTTTTCAATGTAGGAGTTTATGGAATGATAAAATATGGGAATCACTGGAACCAACCAATGTAACTTGTGGTTCACTTTCTCCATGAAGCTTTATTTTTCTTCCTGCAAGTTTAATTCTGTAGTGTTATAGTCTGCGTGTTTGTTCTGAGACATATAGAAATGATGAAAAATTAAAATAATGGTTTGGTGACACCTGATGAAGGAAGCAACTAAATAATTTCAAGCCTTAATCCATTATTTGTCTGTCAGAATTAAGGAACACATTTCCTACATATTGTATGATCTCTTAATGCATCAACACAATAAATCTTCTATAGATTCCACTAGGATGCTCAAAGGAAATGCAAACACAAACAAAACACTTTGAATGCTAAGGCTAGGAATGATAATTTACATTGGAGTGTTTGTCAGGAGAAGATTGAATTTAAGGTTTAAATGCGTCATGTTTGTGTTTTATAATTAAAATATATAATAAAATTCAGGTCAATACACATCTAAATAAAGTTTGTGTATTGACCTGAATTTTATTATATATTTTAAGAAGATTGAAGTTACATTGGGAAAATGTACTTTTTCATAATTTGTGTAACATTTTCTATCAATTAGTGGGATATAAAACTACTAAATGCAGACTACTGGCCCATGAAATTGTACATACAGTCTTACAGATGGTTAAGATATAAAACACTCTTGGCATTGGAGAAAGATAACTTACAGCTGGTGATGGTCGGGGCAATGTATTGCTACTGCTTTGTCTCACAAGAGGTCTCTGCGTTGAATCTGAACGATCTGGCACTGCAGGATTACGTTCTATGCTGTGATGTCATAAAGAAATAGAAATCATTGTATAACTTAATTTAGCTTCAAGTCTTTTGACACAAATGATTTACTTACTACTGAGTTTGAGATGCATCAAAAGAACGTAGTCATTACTACTGATGGGAAGGAAATGCCACTACTCAAAAGCCCAAATAATGGTGATATAAAAATTAGATATGACATGGAGGAAATGTATTCAAAAAACCAAGTTGTATCTGGACAAGGATTACATCTGGAGTGGAAGATATAGCAATATCATTACCATGTTAGTCTAGTTTCAAACTCGGTAGTTGCAAAGTAATAAAAAGGACTTCAGATACATCAATTAAACATAATGACTGACACCCCTAATGGTTTTATCTCTCTCTTTCTCTCTGTCTGTCTCTTATACATATATCAGCAAATTTATTTCATGCATCAGTCCATGATGTGGATACAGAAACAGAATCCAAGACAGGTCTTTATTCTATACTGATACTGTTGATCACTAAAGAAGTCATTGCTTTAGAGACTAATTGTATGCATTACACATTACCTGCTACTTCTGGATGTAGACCCACTCTTCTTGAAGATGCCTGTTATACGATCTTTCATCCTTCCCTTGTCTTCTGATACACTGATGTCTGACCCAGATCCACCCTGTACAGAAACATTAATTTATTATATAGTTCAGTTTTTCAGCTATAAAATAAGATTTTGTTACTTGTACATTCTTCATGGAAATCCCAAAATAAAAAATGTGGTCAAAAAAGCAAATGGAAATCAGTGGTTTCTGGATAAACTGGCAATTACACTTATTATACTTTCATTACTGTTATACTGTTCTATGGAACACAGCATCTTTATTAGATGCATTTGCAGTCACGTGGAGTGTCTACTAAAATTACTTCATTCATGTGTTTGCATACTGAAGAATTAAACAAAAATAGTCAAAACATTTAAATTTTAATTTAGACTGGTTATTTTAATAACTACTCTTTTGAGCTTATCTCTGGTTAAACACAAATTATATTTACCATATTTATTATGGTTATGTGGGGAGCAGGAATCCTCTCTAATGATACTATCACAAAGCCAGAAACACCACCCATATAAAGGTCACTGACCCCCGACAACTGTCATCATTGGTGCAATTCACAAAAGCCAAGTGTCAAAATCTGGCAAATAAGCCAGGATTTCCACATCGTCAAATATGTACAGTTCCTATTGTTTTATTTGCTAATAGTTTATTTAACAAATATGTCAATTAGTCATAATAACAGACCCAAGTAACAGATCAATTAATACATAATGAATTGGACAGGATATGGAAGAAAGTTGTCATGGTCTAATTTAAGGTTCTATCCTAGCAGAAAGTCTTGGAATCACAGATATAATTATTTCAGCAGTCATTACATAACAGTAATGCATTTCCATAATTACCTGACTCATTCCTGTTGTGAAATCTGAGACACCATCATCAATGCTGCGTGACTTTGTGAGCTTCTTCAATTTGCCCAAGAAACCCTTCTTTTTCTTCTTTTCTGTTGACTGTAACACATCGCTTTGTGCTGACCCTCCAGAAAGGCGGCTGAAAGATTAACACTACTGTTACTGTTGGGTCAGTGAGGCCAGTGGATCCCCTGTATGAGTTTAATAATATAGGGTTGTGACTAACCTGTCCAAGTTAGATTCCTTTTTCTGAAGTGTATGGTACCGATTATCTGAAAGTGCTTCTGCACCAGCTTCCAGAGATTGAAGACTTGAAAGGCTCCCTTCATTGTCTGACTCTCCCTTCCAGAATGACTGATGAAAAAGTGAGACAGAATATAACAGTATATAAAAGATAAGGGAACAAATGACTGGCAAAAATGAAGAAAAACTTTGTAACAACTTATAAACTATAACAAGTCAACTTTGTGCTTTAACTGTTTTACTCCCAGAAAGGGAGTTTTTGGGATCCATGATACTGGTGACATCCAGAATTAGTCTTGATATCCTACCCTTGCTAAGAATCAGACCCTGGCTATACAGCCTGTAAACCAGTTATTTTACTGAGTGAGCTACTTCAGTTTCAGGTAATTACAAAATACTTGTACAGTTGAATATGTTTGTACCTGATCTTGTCCACTTGTCTGCTCTAAGGAAAGTGATTTGCGATACAGACTGCCCTTCTTTTGTAGGGCAGCAGCACTTCGGGCCAGAGGCTTGGAACGCAACGAGGAGTCTGGTGGGTTATCTGATTCTGTTGAAGCAGCTCTAAGAGACACAATTTAAATACTGAATTAGTTACAGACTACCCTTAAGGGCTAAAATTGTAGCAGAACATTCTTATCATCATATTCAGCTGTGTATTTATGTATTTATCAGTACTTAATATAGTTGCTGTTTGAAGATATATCTTTAGTTTTAATTATGAATCATAGTAGGGAAATGGTTATCTAGTTATTCTAACTGATGCATTCCCTTTGGTTAGCTGCTCTGCAGTCAAACTCAAGGAAATCAGAACAACACTGGGACAATTTAGAGTAAAGAAAAAAGAGTACTTAGTTAATTGACAAGTTTTACAATTGTTTTACCTAAATTGCATATTTACTGCTTTAAATCCCAACCTGGTGGAATATCATGATTTCGAAATTCTAAGCAACAGCAGTATTTTAATAGCAAACAGAATCAAGTTTCAACCAAACTATTTTGAAAATGGACAAATAGGCAAACTATATATCCTGAGGCTAAGTTTAGAGGTTCTGTTACAGAACATTGTTTGTATGTGAAGATCAGCTCTGATTAATGAACTTTCATAACATCTCTTAAATTACAGATATTCTCATACAATCTTCATTTCATTTATAAATGTGTTTCATTATTGCCTAAAACTGAAGATGTGATTACCAACACTGTCCAATTACTCCTTGCCACATTACTAAAAATAATGGTTGTAGCTGAAGTCAGCAACTTATACAAGAACTATTATAAATAAAATAGGCCAATGAAATGTGTAAAGGCAAGCACTAATAATACTTAGCTATAGTTTTAAAGGTATCTGAAGAATATATAATTGAAGCTCCTAAAACTCTGGACTGTTGTCAATATAAAGAGATTTATGTATTTTAATGCATACACTCAAGTCTAAGTTTACAGCTGAAGAAAAGACCACTGAAAAAGAAAATGAAAATTTTGACTGTGGCTGTAACAAACAGAAAGTTTTTAACCTGTTCAAGAAGCGAGTAAGGCTCTCATTCACAGAATATGCCATCCTCTCAAAAACTGAAGTAAGAAAGGAAGACCTATTGAAACCAACATTAAAAATTAACATAATTTTTCTGGTACCTGAAAGTAAAAAATTAACTTATTCTCCAAACATTTGATACAAATACATTTGCTTAAATAGATGATAACACAAATTATTAGCTTATGCCAGTACAGACCTTCTCAATCCTAACATCCTCTTAGCTCGTTCTCTGTCCCGTTCTTCTTCACTCAGCCTCTGGAATCGCCGTAACTCTTCTGTAACTTCAGATAGCCTATGAACAGTTGACTGAAGTTGAATTTTTCGATCTACTGATGATTCTGTAAGTGGGAATTAGAGTCAGAGTATATCCAGCTGAAGGGACAGATTACAGACTTTCAGTACAGAAGGAGCACACCAAGGAGCTTAATAATTAAACCATTATATAAGAAGTTATAGACAGATAGATAGATATTTTACTCTACCTTTCTGGAACTCCTTCCTTTGTAACTGTGGAGAGGACTCTCTTGATGATTCTCGAGATTTTGGACCCTAAAAGAGGTTAATTTCAATAACTCAGAAGTCACATGGCAATGAACCCTTGGTGTCTATAAAATATGACAAAGATCACTCTTAAAATGCACAAGCTAATTCTGCAGGAACTACACTTTCTGCAAAACGTACAAAATTTTATGATATTCAGTGCCACTGATTTTTCCAAAATTTCTTGAAGCGGAATTACCCACAGGTCATTTTACAATTCTTCAGTCAGTACACTTTCTGATATTCCATAATATAAGTTGTATTATCTTTTCTGTAGTCTGTTGTTGGATATGTTTACATGAAATATAATTTACATCCCAATGCGGTATATTCAAATTCTTGAGTAAATTTACCAAAAGGTTTGATTAAAAGATTTAAAGCAGACTGTTTTCAACATTACATATTACATGAAATGTTAGTATTGTTCCCATTATAAATATGACTCAATTTGGATTCAGTACCTTAAGCCTCTTAGGTGCAATGGGTGTTGGCTGTGACTGAGATGATGTTGAAGATGAATCTGATGTTGACTTCTGAAGGAACAATTCGGGTGCCAGACGCATTAATTCATCCACCTGAAATGAGTTACCAGATTACTCAAATATACCAATGAACCTACAGTTTCACTAATATATAATTCCAAGTCTAATAAAAGAGAGTAATATTCCCCTTTTATGCCTAGAAGCTTTAGAAATATGAATTATGAGCACAGGAAACATTATTGAAGCTAAAACAATTAACAGATCTAATCTATAATGCTGCTGCTGATATATGATATATTCCATTTATTGACTGATCGAGGTAATTTAATGATGGCATATAAACTGCAGAGATTATACAATGTCAAATAAGATGAGACAATTTTCAGTGGTGAGTAGGTAAGGACTTATAAGGAGGCAGTCCTTGTCTGTTTGAAAGTACTTACGGAAAACATGAGGAAAAACTGACCAAAACAATAAAAATTTCAGTCAAGATAGCTAGTAATCCAGTTATATCAAGATGGCACTTCCTGAGAAAAATATCTGGAACTTAACTAACTCAATACCAGGCCTGATTTTAAACCTACCAC